TGAACCGTTTGCCTTATCGAAGGGGAGGTAGATGAGAATTTATATTGTTAATCGTGTCAGGAGCTGTGGCAGTGAAGTGACCAGTCCAAATCACTGAAATATTCGTTAGCATTTTGTGTAACTTAACTTTGCACTGTTTAGAGCAGTGAACCTGGAGGAAGATGCACCATGTTAAACAAAGCACAAAAGAATACAACAGCTGTAGATAGGTTCTTCATGTTTGTTTCATTTTGGCCTCTGGAAAATTTAGTAGTTGGTAAGAATTTACTTTTTAAAGCATGCAAAAGTTCTCTCTTAAATCTTCCCACCCCCTGATAAAAATAAACATAAAGGAGTGAAATTCTTGTTAAAAGAAATGTTACAGCACAGCATAAAATAAGTACTTAGCCTTCCAGAGAGAATAATGGTCCTCTCCTGCTGCCCCTCCAATGCATTAAGAAGAAGAAATGCAACACAGCTACATTAGTTTTAGCAAAATGTACTAATGCTTTCTTACAACTAGGAGGACCAGCACTGCCAGGATTTCAAGAACAATTATGAGCATGGAATTATCCTTTGCTTTGTCATTGACATACAGCTGTGCCAGAGCATGCCTGGAAAGAGCACTTTTTGTTATCAGCAGTTTACAGTAGTGATAATAGGAAATGAATACAGGATACAGTTACGTCCACTCTGACTGCTTGGATCCTTTTTGCTGTTGGGAATTCCACAGGTATCATGGAATTACAGCCTCATTGCTTGTAAGTTAAACTTCTGATGAGATAGCAAGCAAAATGAGGAGAATTCATCAAAATGGAAACAAAGTTTGGAAGTTCAAGTGCTCTGACAGGGAAACTGTGAAAGATCTGAGGCTCTAACAGGCATCTAGTTCTGCCTGTTTCTGGCTTTAACAATGAGTTGTTAAAAGAAATGAAAGCCATTTCCAGCTCGGAACAAAGAAGTTGGATAAATGAGAAAAGTGGAGAGGATGGAACATGTGGCTATATAAAGTATGCCCTATTTTTTTTCCACTCGGAAAGATTCAGTGAAGATTATAGGAAATGGTGAGGAGGACTCTCCATCTTTCTTCATATTTAGCTAATGCTCATTGGATCATACATTTCCTCTCTGAAATGCTGTCAGCTGCTGTCATAGTGAAAGGTCAGGAACAGGATGTGCTAATACCTTTTGTGTGGCTTAGAAGAGAAAAAAGACTTTGCTTTATTCTTTATGAATATACAAGGATTAGAGATGTGTGATATAAATTTCCATGTACTCTGCAAGCTGCACCAAATTAATGTTCTCATTAGATTGATAGGAGAGGTTTTGGCACCAGCTGTTTATCTCAGAGCCTAACAATGAAATGAAGACCATCTGTATCCTGTCTGATCATCCTCATGCTGTGTACATTTTGGAGGGCTGAGGCTTTCCACAGGTGGTCTGATGGGAGCCCATACTAGAGCCATATTAAACAGTAGACTGGTGTCACTGGTGATCCAAAGGTTGAAGAGGAGTCTGCAATAAGTTTGAGAGCAAAGAGGCCATACTGATTTCACACATTTGGCAATCTGCATTAGAGCACCATTCTGCCAATAACCTTTATTGTTTGATGATTTTTTTTCTAGATGACCGTGTATAACTATCTTGATACACTCAGCAGCTTAGCATCTGTTGCACACTGAAGTGCTACCAACTATGAGAGTAAATTTCCTCTAACTATTGTCCTTTACCCTGTTTGCAAGACTTGACTAATATTAGACATCCAACCCCACACAGAAACAGCCAACATAGGAGATTGCTCTGTCCCCCTTTCCTCAGCATGCTGTGCTACGTAATGCTGAAGGGTGTCAAACAGCTCAGTTCTTAATTTACCAGTATAAAACTCTGAAGCCCCCAGACCTCTGAGCCAGCTTACAAAAATCAAGCGGTTTCTGCCAAGAGCTTTAGCTGATGAATGGTGTACAGCAGTATATATTTGCTGTGATATGTAGAGACCAATATATATAACTCTTTTGGCTGTTTGTGATATTTTATGGCAAGTCTCCAGGGCAAATAGCTGAAAAAGTTCCCCTTAGATTGCAGCTGTTAAAAGCACCAGACGGTACAGCCAGATATGCTGACCAGACCTCTCCTTGTCCCCAAATGCTATAGGCTGTCTTCAATTTGGATATACAGACTGTTCTGTTAGCACTGGTAATGCCATGTGGGACTTAAAGGTAGTGTACAAATGATTATGCTTTGCAAGGAAATCAAGGCAAGAGAGGTTTCTGTTTCTCAGAGAATTTGAGCATCAAAGTGACAGTGTGAAACCCTTTATCTAAAGACTGTGCATGCTGGGGAGCTTTTACTTACATTAGTCTTGTAAGCATTCAATTCTAACCTATGGAAGAATGAACTTCCAAATCAGAGTAACAAGAAATCCCCCCATCTTGTGAAGACAGGATGAATTCTCCTAGGTGATTCTTGGCAAAGAAGGTCAGCCAGATAACTGGCATGTTCATAAACTCTCATGTTATCTACCTGGAACCAAGCAATGCTCAGAGGAATGCGATTTTCAAACTTGACTTTGGAAATGACCCAGAAAAAAAAGGATAACAATAATAAGTTAAATCTGTTTCTTGCAAGCAAACGGACATTGATCGGCTTGTGCAAGGAACAGGCAAACCAACACTGATAGGCAGTTGCTTTTGGAAGATGCCTCTCCAAATTCTCTATCGTTGGAATTAATCTCTCTTTCTAAAGCAGCCGTGAGTGTGGTAATAAAGAGCCAATCCGAGCAGAGATTGAACCCCAGTATTTGGCTGCATTAAAAAAGCTGTGAGAAAGTGTGTGGTATAAATGTTTAATTCTGTCTTTTTTAGATGAAGGAGCAGAGGGTGGAGAAGTGCCATCATCCAAAGCCTTGCTGGAAAGTCAAGAGGCGGAAGGAAAAAGCAATGATTCCTAACACCTAAGGACTGCTGGATTAATGAAACCCATCAGCAGACTTTCCAGTTTCCCTTCTGAAGTGTGGTAGCAACTGTAGCAGCACAGATGAGATTTTGCAACACACATGTACCTAGATGACATTACGGTGGAGCTACTGTTTTTTCTACTTTCATCCTTCAGAACTAATGCTCTACACATCCAAATAGGAAAAGAACTAAAGAATGTATCTCTTGTTTTGGGATTTCTCATGGTTATAGTATTCACCCTAACTAATCTTCTTTGACAGTTTCAATTATTATACCTAGCAGATGAACCACCAACTAATGATTGCTTCAGAGTAAAAATTCTGTTTCTTAATTTCCCCAAATAGCTTCTTTCTCTCTGATACAGAGGTGTATTCACTCTCTCCACCTGAAGATATTAAGTATGTATTAGATTACAGACATTATCTGTAATTTATCTCCTGAGATTTTTGTTCTCATTAGGCATGGGTGTGAGAAATAAAAACAAAAAACCATTTTTTTCTCTCCTCCTCCTGCCTCAAAAAGGTTTTGTAAACTACTTAAACACCAGTGTTTGTTTTCTAACTCTCATTAAACTCTATTGGATTATGGCAGATCATCTCAGTTCTCCCACTCTTAGCAATCTTGCCACTTCTGTCATTTCTGTTTTCAGGTTGAATATTGTAGCTGTTCACGTGTATCTAAAATAAAGTAGCTATGTTTGTAAGTTATTAAAATTATTTCATTTCACTCTGGAAATTAAATAGCTATCATATTTTCTGTCTTCTATTGATTCCTTGATATTTCTTTTGTATAACAGGACTTAAAACCACATAATGCGTATTTATTTTATCTGTTTTTGCTTTGTTTGCTGACAATGAAGACATTTCAATCACTGTGATTTTTTACAAAGATTTTTAAGCAAAGGTTTTTCTTGGCTGAAAGGAATTACTTTGTTATGGGGGTCACATTCCTGAAAATACTTAGCATTCATTCCCTTATTGTAGGAGACACGAGATTTAGGTGCAGACATGAACCTTAACCTGCAGCATACGGCTGCAGCCATTTATGTACTTCTTAAAACCTAACCAATGCTGGCAATCGAATGCTTTTATTTGCCCACACAATCTCTCTGCTGGGCTGTAGCCAGATGGAGGAAGCATCTCTGATGGGTACATTCCACATTTGATCAGTATTCCATCTATAAAATATTTGTGCACTTTATATCTGGCAGAGAGCTTGTGAGAGCCCTCTGTGCACACTTACCATTCCTGTCATTCACTCGCACACTGTCTTTTGGGGACCACTCAGTAAAGGATTCAGTTTCATCCAACTGAACTGACCCTCAGTTCCCTGCACTTACCTGTGTTCATTTAACAAATGCAACATCCCAGAATTACTTTCAGGTGTGGAAAGGTAAAATAACTTATTCTGACTCAGTCAGCTTAAGAACGTCTGAGAGACTGAACTAGCTGACACAGAAGGGCCAGAGTTGAAAACCACAGTGGAGAAGGAGCTCACTGTATTTGTGGTACAGACTCTTGTTCTGGGTGGCAGTCCCATTCTCATATACCAGCCTCCTTTATAGCATCACAGTACATAGAACAGTTCAATTTTAAGAAGTTAAAATGATCCCATGGAAATCAAGTTGCTGAGTATTACTGAAACAGAATTCCTTATATGCTTTAAGTTGGGCATATGCTGAAGTGTTCTGCTGGGTCACGGCCTATATTGAATTCTCCTTTCACAGTTGCAGCACTGAATATATTTAGATTACAGATTCGTTTACAGAATACAGGCACTGAAATCTGGGTTACAGGAATAAATACTTAAAGCAAGTATTTTGTTAGCCTAAAATGCTTTGAAGTTTTTTACTATTAAAACACCTGTTATGAACCAGCTGAATTTATCAAATTATTCATATGTTAAACTCTCTATAAAAACCATTCCACAGCTATATACGTGCATGGAATTAACTGCTCACAGACGTACAGTTTAGAACTAGTCAGAGTGGTCAATGCTCTGGAAAATTGGTACTTACTTTGTACTTGAGCTGTGTGAACCTCTCATTGAGAAAAAGTGTAGAAAGAAGAATTTAAACAGAAAATTAGAAAAACTGCATAGGAAGTAGAGACTAACAGGAAGATTTAAAATGCAATTCAATTAAAAGCAAGATGAACATTTTTTTCCTAGTATATGTGGGTCACTTATTATACATCCCTCATTTGCCTGTGTATTATTTAGCTGCAGATTAACCAAGCTACAGATGCAGACCTAATTTTTTGCCACATGCATGTACAGTCTGTGTCTAAACATTTAGTCTAGGCTGCATGAGAGAGCTCTTTTGTAGTTAGTTCAGATATAGAAGAGGAGTATCTAGTTACACCTTGGGTTTTGTCAAATAAACCTTCCCAGTTCTGAGCCAGACGCATATTTCTGACCAGTATAACCAGAACCACAAACACTGGTTGGTGTGGGAGACATTGTGCCATATAAACTTTGGTGCAGAAAAATATTAGTTGTGTATTACACACCCCAGACAAGAGCTAGCCCCATTAGATCTGCCTGGGGGAAAACTATGCCATGCTGCCAGTAGTCTAGGGTTCAGGCAGGGCTACTATCTTAAGCATAGCTAAAGCTGGGAAAGCTCTGGTTCGTTTTCTTCTTAGTACCTTGAAGACAGGTAATAGTCCTACTAAACTTTGGCTGAACCTGTAAAGAGCAAATTAAGTGCTTCAGGATTCATTTCACACTGGCCCAGTTTATCCAGTCTCAACCATTATCCAGGCTATCCCACCCTCACATCAGCTCAGCTAATGGGTAGTTGATGACAGTGCATTCTACTAATCCACAGGGTAACAAAGTTATGGCCCTGAATCAGCAGAGTGCTTTAGTAGAATATGCTTAACTTTAAATGCAGACCAGTCTCACAGAAGTCAACAGAACTGCTTAGTGCCTAAAATTAGGTACATACTTAATTACCTTAATAAATTACGGCGGCAGACTTCTATTAAGGCTAATCTGGTATTATAATGCGTTAATCCCAATTTCCATTCCAGCAAGTGTGGCACAGGTAATAGCATCTTTTTCATCAGTTTACAGCACTATCCTGGGCTCCTATAGAGCAAAGAATTTCATTTTAATACCAAGCAAAAAAAAGGTAACTTTGTTGTCTCCAAATTTTAGAACATAATAAAGCAATTATTCATTCTTAGCCACTCAGCATATATGAAAAAAAAAGGGCAGGAAATGCCCTTTAACTTCATTGTGCACATATAAAACACTTTAGATGCTTTGAATATACAGAAAACTGGCCTCAATCTATCTTTACAGATGTCATTAAGAATGTAATTTTCTTTTGGCGAGCCCTTCATCAGAAGTTTGTGTAAGAGGTGGATGAACGTGCTAAGGCACATCTTTTGTTGCTACAAAACAGGAAAGTTCAATTTGTTATCTGGAAGGCAATAAAGGACTAAATAGGTTTTGAGGTAGAGGACTGATTATTAGAATGTTCTTATTTAGAGAGACTAAGAGACGTAATTAAGCATTTTTAAAAATGAAGTTTATTTGATATCATCCCTCAGACAGCTATATCCACCTGTACCATATACCATCATTCTGATATAATACTGCAAAGGTTGAGCTTGGATGGATGAAATGAGTGGCAAAGCAGTTTGCAAAGTGGTATATTTTAAAAGAAATTTCCAAATCACTGATAGTACGGCAATGTATGGGCCAGATCTAGTTGTCACTGAAGTCAAAGATCAGTTTTATACTATCTATCTACAGTGTGAATTGTATCTGACTTGAGTTTTAAGTCATGAGTTACTGATCATACAGAAAATTTCTCCCAACTCAAAACACAAATGCTTGGAGGCTAGGAAGCTAGTCAGTGTAAACATCATACATGTGTGCTCTGTCTGATCCACAGTGGCCACTTCTCTGCTGTGCAGCTTTCATACAATGGTGCTCATATGAAATAATATAACTGCAATTGCATTAGTTAAAGATGACAACAGAACAGTGGCTAGAAGAGGTTTAAGCTACACTTTACCATCAGTGTTCCAAATATCCTTTATGTATCACACATACAAAGAGGAATACTTCAGGTTTTAACACATTAAGACTAGTTTGTATTCCTCTGCTGGTGCTCTATGTATGATGAAGCCCATGAAAAGGAATTCAACAGAGATTTTTGCATGGATTTCACCACTGGTTTGGGACAGACTATATTTGCTGTGCTCAGTGAGCATAAGCCCCAGACCCACTGTTGTGTGTGTGGATTCCTCAGGGTCCACACGGCACAGGTCTGTGGAGCTGAGCCCACTGGGATCCCAGGGAGCCTGCTCTGAAGTGTTTTGGGTAGAAACAGCAAGGGCTTAAACTGTTCTGCCATCTAGTGGGATCCTCAATCTGCTAGGTAGTTTGTGGAAATAAATGGAGGAAGACAGTTTTAAGAGACCTCAAAACCAGCTGGGAGGCAGCTTCTTGAGGGTGACAGTGCACAGAAGGTGTGAGCTGTCCTGATGAGAGGTAGACTGTCTCCAGCAAATCTGATACATTCACTTCAAGGGTTTCACTAAGGGTCTAGTACTTTAGTGCTGCTGTGTATTTAGAAAGTTGAGTGTTTGCAAACGGGAGATGTCTTGCATTACTGAGAACGCTGCTCCAATGGCTTACACAAGCCTGAGAAAATAATGCCAGCTGAAGCTTCCCCCCTCCACAGGGCTGCCACTTGGAGATGTGCAGCACCGCTTCCTGCTACCCCCTGTAGCTCACGTCCTTGCCCATTCAACAGGAGCGCATTGCCTCTGGTGTGGAGGCCCAGATCTCTCGGTGGAAACTCACTGACACTGCCTGGGAAAAGGAAAGATGCTGGGCTTGGGCACTGAGGGGTGAACTAGACAAAAACATTTTCAACCTGTAAACTCTGTCATAAAATAAGTGTCTGAGTCTGGCTTGCAGCCTACTCAGCTTTAGATGCCCGCTCTGCTATTTGGGCTATGGTGTCAATACCCACAATAGAGGACTGGTTTTGACCTTTTTTAGGGAGAACTGTTTCACCTTCCTCACCTGAAGCTGTTCTACTTCTGATAGTAATTAGCAATAAATGCTGAGAGCTGTTAGTTTATTTCATTACTTGGGTTTGTTTCCCTGTTCATCCCAGTGGGGACCAGTTCATAGTCCAAGATGGCCAGGCCTGACTGTAGGCCCTCAGGCCATCTCTGTGCCCTGTCCTAACACCAGGTCTCTGGATCTTAATGCAAGACTTATGTTTGATGGAAAATTGGAGTATTTTTGGCTGTTGATACAAAGCCTAGGTGCTGTGGGCTTTTCTGTATTAAACATATATTCAGCAATTGCCTGCAATGTAAAGGGCCTTGATGCGAGGATTTTGACAATCCCTACCAGTGCTTCATTCCTGGGTCTCAGCTGTGCAGTGACTGATGCTGCAAATCCAGTGCTTATCATACAATGTACAGAAAA